GCACCCTGATTGACTCATCTCCTCCCCAAGACCCTTCTGTAAGGGGTTCGGACTGTCTCTTATGAGTGAGTTTTCTTCTCCTTTGTTTTATAAGTGAGAAACTGAACCCAAACCAAACTCCCTGCCATTGAATCAATGCCGACTCAGAGTGACCCTATAAGGCAGAGTAGAACTGCCTCTGGGGGTTACTAAATTATAAATCTTTATGGAAGTAACCCAGTCTTTCCCAAAGGGAGGCTGGTGGTTTCAAACTGCTAACCTTCTAGTTAGCAGCCTAATTTGTAACCACTACACCATCAGAACCAAACTCACTGCCATTGAGTCAATGCTGACTCACAGAGACTCTATAGGACAGGGTAGAACTGCCCCTGTGAGTTGCCGAGACTGTAACTGTTTATGGGCGTAGAGAGCCCCATGTTTCTCCCGAGGAGTGGCTGGTGGTTTCAAACTGCTGACCTTACAGATCGCAGCACAAAGCATAACCACTACACCACCAGGGCTCCTGTAAATGAGAAAATTGGGATGGAAGTGTATGAGATGACTCATAGACCTACAGGGGTCATGTTCTGGCTTGTGTTCTCACAGCCAACTTCATCGACAAATGAACAGTGAGTGATAAATGCCCTGTGTGTGATGCACAAGACTTCCCTGCCTCCCGGCAAGTTAACATGGTTCCCAGGAAGGCGTGAGGCACAGTTGAAAAGAATGAAGAGCCAGGAAATTTGGAATGTGGGACCTTGGGCAAGCTGTTCTTTCAATGAAATAAAGGCACTTCTATGACTGACCAGTACATTCAGGTTACTGCTCCTGGTGTCCTCCAGTCCCCTACGGACTATGCCTGTTTCAGTAGGGGCAACCATTACTTTGAAATTATACAGGAATCACCACCACTCTCCTGGTAGAGAATGTTCATGATGGGAGAGGAGCAAGAAGCCGCATAGTACAGTGTTTGAATACTGACACCGGAAGTACATAGTAGCCTCACGGCCTCCTTGCTCTGGGACCATGGGACAGCTGTTCTTTCAAATTCGTTTCAAGTTTTCACATCAGCAAACGGGAAGCAATGCCTACTTTAACCAAACCAGTTGCCTTGGAGTCATATGCCTTAGGAAACCTAGAGGGTTTCATGGTGTGGCCTCGAGGAAGCAGTTCACCAGGCTTTTCTTCTGAGTTGCCTCTGGGGGGGGTTCAAATGGCTAGTGTGTCCATTAACAGTCAAGCACTTAACAGTTTGTGACACCCATGGGCTACAAATATCTTCCTTTCGGACTGGATTGAATGAGCTGATAACTGTGACCCTCGGGGAGGAAGGCTGCTCCTGGGGGAACGGTTTGTCTTTCTCTTGGCAAGGATTGCTTACTGTGTTTCGGGAGCCCTTCCACCGGGGGAGTGATGGGAGGGAAGACAAGCCCCCAGAGGAGATTCTGAAGAACCTCCCTGGGAAAACAAACTCAAATTCCTTTTCCCTCTGGGCCTCTCAGCTCACACTCACCTTGACTCCCCGGGGGGCACATGTACTGGATTGGGATAAAATTATAAAGCTGATGATCCACCCCTCCGGTGAACACTGGGAGATTCTGAAGAACCTCCCTGGGAAAACAAACTCAAATTCCTTTTCCCTCTGGGCCTCTCAGCTCACACTCACCTTGACTCCCCGGGGGGCACATGTACTGGATTGGGATAAAATTATAAAGCTGATGATCCACCCCTCCGGTGAACACTGGGCAAGGAAGTCTTCCAGACTGCCTGCTGGGAGAGGGGATGGTTGACACTCTTAATTAGAAAGGGGATAAGCACTGTTTACTTTTCTTTGACAAGACATTACACCCTCCCATAGTTACCGTGTTTCCCCGAAAATAAGGCCTACATACAGTTTTACCTCTCATTGAAATATAAGGCATCCCCCCCCCAAAATAAGGCCCCCCAAGTTACCGTAATTCTGGACTCTGGACTGTAGCAGCTCACTGTTGGTCACAGCACAGCCGGAGCAGACGGGAAGTGCGAGGTCTTTTAATGAAACAATAAATGTACCATATTCTTCATGGAAAAATAAGATATCCCTTGAAAA